GCACTCCATTCGTACAGAATAATTTGAATTTTCCAAACGCATTGTCGCCTGTGCTTGCCTCCGGGCCTCCTCACGTGCAGCGTACTACGTCTCCAACACTATGCCTCCATGTCCTTCAGCTGAATTCTTTTACTTCATCAGGTTCTCAGGTTGGATACTCCTTCCTACAGGAAGCCCGACACTTGGAAGAATGTACCGGTTTATACGTTCTTAGTAGGGATTCCTATAACACTGTATATACATCCCTTTGTCGGGGCACCTCCAAAATACTACAACTGTCTGTTGTTTATCTGTGTTTCTCATTAGATTGTACACTCTTTGAAGGAAAAACCAAGTTCATTCACATTTATATTACTAGCACCTAAAAGGTGCCTTACCCATGGTAACTATAAATAATCTTTGAAGAAATGAATAAACACGTCTATATACTATCTCCCTCTGTGGGCTTCAAGATCCATAAAGACAAAAAACTCTTCTCCACTCTTGTGGCCCCAGCATTTAACACATTAAATGTTGATGTTTAGGATGGGCTCCTTTGTAAAGGTGGTACTCATTTATAAAATGCTTATAGCACCCAAGGACTTGGTAGCATAAAAAGTAACTGCAGGAGGGGAGAGGGAAGGAAATTTAAGGGGAAAAAGGGGGGAGGGATTTGGAGGAACAAATATGAAGGACATGGGGACGAGAACTAAGGGGGGTGGAAATGGGAGGGAGGTGGGGAGCAAGGGACGGGGGAGGCTGGGATGGGAGAAATAGACAAAAAAACTGTACTTGAAAAATAGCTAAATAAAATAAATAAATAAATAAATAAAATGCTACAGGCGGGAAAAAATTTAAAAATAAAAAAAAGTAACTGCAGGAAAAAGATATAGAAAAAATTACACAAATGGAAAGAAATAGGATAAAATGAAAATAAGAGGAGAAATGATGCACTGATCAAGTATAATAAATCCTATTCAGTTGGCCTTTCCACGGTCCACATGTATGTACATGGAAAGAAGAGAGCTCTTTTTTCTTCAATCTTTAACAAAAGAAAAGAGTCCTTGGCATTTTTGTGTTTTTTCCCCCATGAAGTCATGTTAACCACAGGTTGAAATTTTGGTATAAGGCATTAGAAGTACAAATCACTCTTTGGTTCCATCAATTCTATCCTTAAAACAATAGGAGGAGGCTTGAATTTTAGGATAAAGACCTAGTACTCATTTTCTACCTATGAGACTTGGTAAGGTCCCTGTCTTGGGTCATCATGACCTTAAAGGCTATTCGAAAGTTTTGAAAAGCAAATAGAAGTTACTTCTCAAGAACATGTTTTTTCATCTATAAATTCATAAAAGAATGTTATTTCAAAATTTTCTTTATTTAACTTAGAACACATAGAATATTAAAGGTATTATTTTCTTTGTTTGATGTGTTAGGAATTAAGACAAAGCTAAGGGCACACCAGGCTAGCTCAGTCAGCAGAGCATGAGACTCTCACAACGAACAAGCAATGAACCTGAAAATGTGCATTCGCAAAATGCTGTGCATTAAAACTCATGCTGTTCATAGATCCAAGGTAAACATTACTTTGCTAAAGAAACACTCCATCGGCACATTTGTTGTTTTTTCTAACCACTGCCATTTAATGAGCTCTCTACACCTAATAAAAAAGTTTATCTTTAAAGGACACATGGACAAAGCCAAAGGGGGAGTAGGACGGAGGGGTGGTGGTAAGGGATGGCCAAAGTGGAGGGGTAGGGGAATGGTGACAACTGTACCTGAACAACCATAAAAATAAAAGTAAAAAAGTTACCTTATTATATATTTATCATACCCACTTATTACTTCAGGTATCCCCTTTTGTTAACTGCCCTAATCTTTTAAAATCAAATTTCTAAACAATATTTTAATTCTTCACACACTTTAAAATCTTCCTAATATTGTTAGTAGTCTAAGCCTTTTCCACTTCTTCCAGGTACTTCTGTCATTGCTGACTGGCTTGGAGAGCCCTCTGCTGGCCTGATGCTGTGTCAAAGAGCATTTTCTTCAGCACCCAGATACACATTAAATTTCATATGCATTTGGTAGTATAATAATAATGGTGTAATTCAAGCAAAACCTTTATTCAGAATAATAAAATTACAGGGGAAACTGAATGATTCTATTAAAGTACTGTTACCAGAAATAAACCCTCACACAGATGGTCAAATGATTTCCCACAAGGTGCCCAGACCAGCCAACAGGAAAGAGACAGTCTTTTCAACAAATGGTTCTGGGAAAACTAGATTATCCACATGCAAAAAGAATGGAGTTGGACCCTTACATAACATAATATATAAAAATTAACTCGAAACGTGTCAAAGATATAAGTGTGAGGCCTAATTATAAAACTATTAGAAAGAAACATGGCAAAAGCTTCATGACACTGGATTTAGCAATAATTCCTTGACTATGACACCAAAGGAGAGGCAAAAAAAAGCAGACAAATTAGACTTTATAAAAATTAAAATATTTTGTACATAAAAATGCACTATCAACAAAGTAAAAAGCCAGCTCGGAATGAAAAAAAATTTACAAATCACATCTGATAAAGGATTAATATCCAGAATACATACAGAATTTCTAAAACTTAACAAAAAACTTTTTTAAATGGGCAGAGGTCTTGATAGACATTTCTCCAAAGATGACACAGGCATACCTCATTTTGCTGTGCTCTCAGTACTGCACTTGGCAGCTACTGCATTTTCTACAAAATGAAGGTTTGTGGCAACCTTGCATCAATGATTAGCATATTTTAGCAATAAAGTATTTTTTTAATTACTGTATGTGCACTGTTTTTGCAGAGATAATGCTATTGCACACTTAATGGACTACAGTATGGTGTAAACATAACTTTTATATTTCAGGAAATGAAAAACTAATCACGTAACTCGCTTTATCGCAGTATTCACTTGATTGTGGTGGTCTGAAACCAAACTTGCGGTATCTCCAAGGTAGGCCTGTCTAAAAATGGACCAATAAGCACATGAAAAGATACTCAATATCACTATCATTAGGGAAATGAAAATCAAAAGCACAATCAGGTAGCGCCTCACTTCTGTTAGGATGTCTATTATCAAAAAAGTAGAAAATAACGAGTGTTGGCAACAATGTGAAGAAAATGAACCCTGGTACACTACTGGTGAGAATGTACAATGATACATGCACTGTGGAAAACATTATGGCAGTTACTTAAAAAGTTAAAAAATAGAATTACCATATGATCTATCAATTATTCTCATCTGGCTACATACTCAAAAGAACTGGAAACAGGATCTCAGAGATAACTTATATAGCCATGTTCAAATAAATAATATAAAATATGTTCATGGCAACATTTACTGTAGTTAAAATATGGAAGCAAACCAAGTATCCACTGTCATGAATGGATAAGCAAAATGTGGTATACATACAGTAGAATATTATTCAGCCTTAAGAAAGTTCTGATTCATGCTTAAATATGAATGAACTGTGAGGACATTACGCTAAGTGAAATAAGCCAGTCACAAAAACAAAAACACAAACAAATACTTGTATGATTCCACTAAACATGAGATACTTAGAAGCAGAAAGCAGACGGTGACTGTCAGGGATTGGAGAGAAGAATAAGAAGGTATTGCTTAATGGGTACATTTTCAGTTGTTTTTTTAATATACTTTATTGATTATGCCATTACAGTTCTATTTCCCCCTTCATTCCCCTCCACCTAGCATACCCCCTCCCCCCATTCCCCCCTTTAGTTTATGACCACATGTCTCAAGTTCTTTAGATTCTATATTTCCCATACTATTCTTGCCCTCCCCCTATCTATTTTCTATCTATGGTCTGTGCTACTTATTTTTTTGTACCTTCTCCCCCCTTCTTCTCCCACTCCCCTGTTGCTAACCCTCCCTGTGATCTTCATTTCTATGGTTCTGCTCCTGATCTAGCTGTCCTCTTAGTTTGCTTTTGGTTTAGGTGTGGTTCTTAGTAATTGTGAGTTTGCTGTCCTTTCACTGTTCATCTTTTTTATCTTCTTTTTCTTAGGTAAGTCCCTTTAACATTTCAGTTTTTATAAGGTGAAAAGTGCTCAAGAAACAGATGATGGTGCACAGTATTATAAATGTATTTAATACCACCGAACTGTACATCTAAAATGGTTAAAATGAAAGATGGAATATTTTATATGTATTTTAACACAAAAAATGAAAAAAAAAACCCATGGAGATAATTCCTCCATTCACTGACTTTATATAAACTTATTAGAAGGGCAAAAATCTCAAAGTTTGAGCATACTCTGTTAACACAGCTATGAGTTGGGTGCAGGGGGAGTCTTATATACTGCGGGTAAGAGCTAAAAATTAGAGTAAGCTGTCTGGATAGCAATTTGACAATATCAATAAAAATGACCAATTCATACAACATCTACATATTTCACTTCTGAGAATTTAACTTACAAAAAACTTGCAAATGCATAAATCAATGTTTATAAATGATTATTCTACATAACACTAGTTATAATATCCCCCAACTGGAAACTGCAAATTTTGATGAGCAGGAACAGGCTGAATAAATTATGCTACCTCCATAAAATGAGAAATCAAGCAGTTGTGAAAGCAAAAAAAAAAAAAGGATGTTGTATATGTAATGATATGGAAATAATTACTGTCCTTTTATACAAGATAAAGGGAAAAAGCAAGATGCCAAATAACGTATGTATTTTGGTACTTTCTGTTAAAGTTAAGGGATAAAATACATTTATATCTGCTAGTGATATACACAGACTCTGGAAGGACACACTAGAATTGGTAGCAGTAGTTCCTGTGTACACGGGGGGTGTGGACAGGTGGAAGACAGTGCCTGGATATCTTTTACTACGTATACAGAATATAAACCATGTGAAAAGGTTATTAATTCAAAAAATGTGCTAATCTTAGAAGCTAAGTATAAAGTCAACACATCCTGTATTAATAAAACAATGATAAAATCCTCTATAATCTTACCTGCAAATTAGACATATAAGAATCCCCACAATTTACATAGTGTCCTAACATGGCATGTTGTGCCCGTAATTCATTATCCCTTATTCGCTCGTGTAGGTGGGTAATTTGTTGCTTCTGCCTGCAAAACATAAATTGAAGTCACACAATAAAAAATATACTTTTCTAAGAATAGTCAAGAGTACAATTTCTAGTATTCTAGTATAGTAATTTTAGTAAATTTTAGTATAAAATTTGGTAATTTTAGTAAATTTAGTAATTTTAGTAAATTTTAGTATAAAATTTGGTATAAGAGTTAAAAGTATTATCAATCTTAAAATCCATAATATGAAACAGCAACTTGAATGACTTTGGATTATTTCCTTGATGTCCTAGAATATATAGAATTGAAGGATATATTTTAATAGTTATGACGATGACTCTGCATTTCCTACTGCCATAAAATGAATATTGGTGTCTCCCCCCAAACTCATATATTAAATCCTGATGCCCAATGTGATGGTATAAGGAGAGGGGGCCTTTGGGAGGTAATTAGGTCACAAGGGCAGAAGCTTCAAGAATGCAGTTGGTATACTTATAAGAGAGGCCCCAGAGAGCTTGGTGGCCCCTTTCACAATGTAAGGTCACAGGGAGAACACAGCCATCAATGAACCAGGAAGTTGGCTCTCACCAGAAACTGAATCTGCCAGTGACTTAATCTTGGACTTCCCAGCCTCCATAACTGAGAGAGATAAAATTCTGTTCTTTATAAGCTACCCAGGCTATGGTATTTTGTTACAGCAGCCCAAATGGACTAAGACACCCTATTAACTCATACCCCTCAAAATACTAATTATAATGGTGTTCAAAAAAATAATGTAAGTCAACTGATTCTGATTGTTTGAAGAGTATATCCTATTAATAAAAGTCTGAATTTTGATCTGCTTTTAAAACATGCAGTACAGGGAACAGAGTCAATGATATTGTATTAACTATGTATGGCGCCCGATGGGTACCAGACTGATGGGAGTGATCGATCACTTTGTAAAATATATAAATGTCTAATCACCATGTTGTATGCCTGAGACTAATATAATACTATACGTCAACTATAACTGAAAAATAAATTTTAATAAATAAAAAGTATGCATAAATGACAAAGAATCAATATGTATCACAGATAATATAATTAAGAAATATTAGGCTTATTGTTCAAAATAATTATAAAACTGTTAAATATAGCACAATTTTTTTCAGAGCTCTGGTACTCAGCTCTGAAAAAAACCATGCAGAATTTTTAGAATGTCCCCCCAAATATCCAAAATTCTTATCTGTAAATCATTTAATTTCAAGCATTCATAATTTTCATCATTTCTGTGCTGTCATATCTAACATAGGTTAGTCAAAATTACTTTAAAGTAGCTTTCCAATTTCCTAAGTATAATATTTGTAGATATTTCCTCCTAACTATAAGAAGATGAAGAGAAGTTTCCAAATAATGAATTACTGTAATGGAAATGGGAGGATGGCAGAAGAAAGACAGACCCACGGACCACTGTTATGAGAACCGATCATATCATCGGTTCTTAAAGGGCCTGGGGCTGGAGAAGGACAGACATGAGAAATCAATGTATTTGTAAGGTTCTATTTGTTAAACTCTACATGGTGGATACAAATGTCTGTTTTAAAATCTACATTTCTATACACTTGAAGTATTCAGTAATTGAAAAACATAGACTCACCGATCGATTACAATTTCTTTCTGCCGTAGTAGTCCTTCCTTTATTTTCAGCACTGACTCCCACTTTGTGAAATCCTGATAGCCAGAAGGTGAGTAACTCTGACGAGATGATCCAGTCAAAACCTGTACAAACACACTTAACGCTTAGTATCCTAATAGTGTCTAAAGGAAATATTTATATTCCATCTAATATTTTCCCAATGATTTTCATTTAAAAAAGAGAACTCTGTCTTTCATTTTTTAAGACTATCTGAAATCACACTTGTGAATACAATGTAACTTGAAAAACTCAAGTTACAAAATACATGTACAAGTCTAATTAAGAGTTTAATCATTTCTGAAAGGAGTACAATAAAAGAATGTACAATGGCTAGACTAGACAAACATTACCAAAAGGGTTTCCAAAAAGAAATAAAAACAGTATCTGTAGCATTTAGATTTCATATTGTCATTCATCACAATATCATTTAATTACATTAAAATTTCAAAAGCTAAAATGTTTGCATAAAATAGTAAATATATCCATAAAATATGTGGCTAGTAAGCAGATAAGCCAGATGGCTATTAGTCTCTGGTATAAATGGTATCACTTAGAAAAAATACTCTGAGAATTTAAAAAAAATTTTGGTAGCTTTAATAATACCACATGATACCGTATGATCTCACCTTTAACAGGAACCTAAACAACAAAACAAACAAACAAGCAAAATATAACAAAAGACACTGAAATAGAGAAGAGGCTGACAGTGACCAGAGGGGAAGGAATTTCAGGGGAAAAGGGGAAGGGTTTACAGGAACTAGTATAAAGGACACATGGACAAAAACTAGGGGGGATGGAAATGGGAGGGGGGGGCTGGATGGGTGGGCTGGGCTGGGAGTAAAAGACAGAAAACTGTATTTGAACAACTATTAAAATTTAAAAAAAAATTTTAAAAATCAACAATAAACAGCTATCTTCAAACTTCTATCACTGAAACAAAAATTTAATACTGGTGTTAACAAGTTGAACTGTGTCCCTTCAAAAGATATGCTGAAGTCCTAAGCCCAGTATCTCAGAATGTGAACTTCTCCGGAAACAGAGTCTTTGTAGATATAGTCAACTGAACAGGAAGCCATTAGGGTGGGCCCTAATCCAATATGACTAATGCACCATGGAAAGGGAAACTCTGAACACAGACAGGGATGGAGGAGAGACATTTCATCACATGAAGGTGAAAGCAGAGACTGGAGTGATGCATGGAAAACAAAAGACTGCCAGAAAAGTACTAGGAACTTGACCTGGAACCAACTCCACTGACACCATGATTTTGGACCTCAAGCCTCCAGAACTGTGAGACAATAAATTCCTGCTGTCTAAGTTACCTGGTTTGTGTTTTTTGTTATGGTAACTCCAGGAAACTAATACATTGGTAAATCAAGTAGGAACATAAATTCCTTGACAAGTTAAATGATGCTATATATAAACACCACAAAGCAATTTAAAAGAACTCAAATGTACAGCAATATTTTTATCCTTTGTTTTCCAAAGATGCTACAGGACAAGACTTAGTTCTGAATAAGTCACTAATTGTGTGACATCAACTAGCCATAGATTAACACTTCAAATTAATAGAATTGTCAAATAATACTAGGACAGGATGTTTCGGGCAGGAGAAAGACAGGACAAAATGGGCAGACTGAGGAAAGAAACTAGGTGATAACGGAGCACCAAACTAAGAGATGGGCAGGTATCTGGAGTGTAACCAACACACAGTTGTTCAGGGGCAGGTAAATTGGACACTCTATCCTGAATTTCATTCTTTCCCTTGCCTAACATACAATCCAGGCTATATTCAGCCAGTATGTACCAATACAAATATGTTAGTTGCTACGGCACTAAATTTCTTTCACTGTAATTGGTAACTAGCTACAGCTCCAACCCCCTGAATGTCCTCTCCACTACCCAGGACTCACATCAAGTCTCTCCATGGTACAAAAAATAGAGTTACCTCCAGTTTTTGGCACACAAAAAAAGGGCCTTCTCAGGACCCTGTTTCATCCATAAGTGGCATCCTTTCCGTTTGGCGGATCCCTGCATTAGTCAGCCCCCCCTCAATTCTCCCATCTCAGCTCTGTTACCAGTGTATGTTCCGTTGGGAGAGCTGGGATTCAAACCTAGGCAACCCAACAAAAAAAGCACCATTTTGTGACACTGCTGTAGACTAATTAACTAAGAAGCTTTGCAAATTTCATATTGCAAGGGCTGAAAAAAATCGAAATTAATTGCTAAGAGAAGATTCAGCACCATAAATAATATTGTTGATATTAAGTCTGTGCTTATTGCAACTCCATGTTACTTAACGATTATCAATTTCATGGGTAAATCATTTCATGGAATTTTTTTTGTCAAACTGTTACTCAAACAGGAATTAAAACAATAGAAGCTAGCAAAACAAAAGATCATATCAATAATCTGAAACTCAGCATAAAATCTGGAAGTTATCAGAATGACTTGGTAAAACAATTGTGCTATAATCTGTAATTCTAAATATATAATTAATTTGGAGACTAAACGTAAATATGTATTTTATTTATATGCTGGCTTCACAGGTATTTTAAATATTGGTTTTGTATATTGTTGTCACACCTAATAAAAAACTTTGTAAGGTGGCTTAAGGATCTATGGTCTCTTCTTCCAAAGATCCAAAAAGGCTTCTCCATTTCAGGACTGACCTGTACTGTAATATCTTAAGCTATGTTTTGCCCTACACATCTTGTGTGCCTATTTCAATAAGACTGGCACCTAAGCAACAGACAATGATCTTAGAAAGACATTAACTATTCTACTCTCCATGAGAAATCTACTAGAAAACTTTTATCTAGTAGATTTCTAGTTTTCTAATAGAAAAATCTAGTTTTCTACTAGAATCTAATCTAGTTTTCTACTAGAAAACTTTTCCATGCTAGCAACTTCCTAAGGAAAAGCCTTTTCTTGTTTTGGCATCAAGAAGGAGGGAACAAACACTAGGAAAAATATGTCTGCATGAGAAAAACAAATGATAATGCCACTCGGTTTATAGCACTTGAACCCCTGGAAGGATAGATCACTAAAGGACTTGCCAGAGGTTTCAATAAATATGTGCAAAACAAAATATGAGGATTTATTCTTCTGATTTGAGCCCCTTGATCTAAACCCTTTAAAAAACAAAATAAAAATTGAGCTATAAAATTGGGCAAAGAGGAATTTTAAAAAATCTTCTCTTGTAATTACCCAATCAGTAGCGTGATAATATTCCTTACTAAACTTCAACCATAATTCATAAAGGTAGTTTAAAAAAAAGCATGAAACCTAAAAACAACCAAATGTTGCAGGAGAACTTAAAAGTAATTTTAAACATCTGTTCATATCTGTCTATCACTAAAAATGACAACTATGAAGACATTTTACCTCCTATGGCTTTTATAATGAGGACATTGTATATGCTATCTTAAATGAAGTTATAGAATACGCAATTTTTAAAATCATATTGCAAAGTCTCAAGTAGCAAGGCAGCCACTGTACCTTTATAATTTTGCTTACAATACAAAAAATGTTACACTATTAAAGTCATACAGAAAAAGGACAACTGATGAAAATTCATTTTGATTATAATTCACAGTGATGTTCGGGCTCCAGTCTTGACAAGGCTAAACCAGAGTCTCACAGAAACAGCACAGGCTTGCTCTGTACTACACACAGAAAAAAACCACATTATCTACCCTGGAACTACTTCTCTTTTCTAAGTTCTAACAAAAGGATTGAATGATGAGAAGGGAATTAGATTATATTCAAGTTGGTTCTTCCTCACATTTCCATGTTAAAACCTCAACAGAGATTACTCTTTAAACACTGCCAATTTAATGTGTCAGCAAATGTTAAAGTTTTCCCCCCATTAGTTTATAGAACAGAAACGGTCTCCTCTTAATTACACATTTGGGAGGCTGAAGAGAACTTACAAAGTCTTACTAGTACCAATTACTTATTTGGTTCCAAGCATTATACCCAAAAGCAGCTGGGAGCAGAGAGGGGGCTGCCTTTTCCCTCTGAGACTGACACAACGGGAACTTTGAGTACACGCTGGGGCACACTTCACACTTCTACATGGCACTACCTTAGCTTTGGAACATTAACACATGGACTACTATTCAGCAGAAAGAAAGAACTCCTACTCTTCGTGAAAGCATGGATGGAAGTGGAGAGCATTACGCTAAGTGAAATAAACAAGGCAAATACTTCACCTATAGATTTCACCTATAAGTGGAACCTAATCAACAAAACAAACAAATGAGCAAAACAGAACCAGAGACTTGGAAATAAAGAACAAACTGACAGGGACCAGAAAGCAGGAGGAAGGGGCATAATGGGGGGAAGAAAGGGAAGGGGCATGAACAGAGGACTGACTCTTGGGCACGGACAATGCGGGGGAACTGACTGTGCGAATAGGGAGGTGATGGGGCAGGAGAGAGCAATGGAAAAAAAAAGCAGGACAACTGTAACTGAACAACAATAAAAATAATTGCAAAAAAAATTATCATGTGGAAAAAAGAAGGTAGTCAATTGCAATTGCCTTAAAACTTCCACACTACAAGTTACTAAAAATCAAGCCCAATATAAAAGTTAGTATTTTCTTCTGTATCAAGAATTATCATGGATTGTACACTATCTTTCACAACACTGGCTAACATGAACAAAATAGAAGCAGGAGAGCCAATATCATTTTTGGAAATCAGAAAAATTCATCTTCCTTTTACCAAAAAGCATTAAATAAAAATGAGAAAGTTTTATATTGATAAAAGGTAAAATATCTTGCCAAGAAGATAAAATAATCATGAAAGCTAATACAGTTAATAGTATATTAACTCATATAAAAAAACTATTAAAAATAAATAGGGAAACAAATGAATCCACAATCATAATGAAAACTTTAATATGTCTTTCTGAAATAAAAAATCAGGTAGAACAGAAGTTGGCAAATCCAGTTCACCATCTGTTTTTCTATGGCCTGTATACTAAAAATGGATTTTCTAATTTTAAGTGACTGGAAATAATCAAAAGGAAACTTTATGATACATGAAAATTGTAAGAAATCTAAAAATCAAGGCCC